AGAGTAAGAGCTTCTCAAATAAAGTGTTATTCAAGGCAAAGAACATGAGGCGTGAACTAAACAAGCCAACATCAAGCTCACTGTAAAATGATGAAATAAATATGTACACAGAAATGATTTCCCAAAGAGAGTTACTGAATAGCAGTTTAATAGTTAGTGTATGGGAGGGAGGATTTTAAACTAATTTTATGAGTCAAAATCACATCTCTCCTTAAAAAAAAAGAAAAAAAAATCACATTTACTGGTAAACTTTTATGATTATCTCAGATGTTTTAGAAGCAATGTAAAATTGCTTAAATGATCCTAAAAATACATGAAATACATTTCAAAAGTTTTAATTTTTAAATTTTATTATAATCACTTCTCAGCCTTTTGGCTAAGATCAAGTGTAATTTTTAAATTTTATTTTTCAGTAGTATTCCTTATTGGGAACTACAGCACTCATGTCTTAACTGTCTTTCAACACTGTTAAACCTGCACACACAGAAAAGTGAGATATAGTATTTGTCCTCATTCAGCTTGTATCAAGGCTCATGGGAAGCAACATTACAAGGAAGGACAGATGTTAACATCCCTAACCAGAACCCCAAGAAAGGTGCTGCCAAAGTTTTCCCTCTGTTCTACAGAGAATCTGTGACTTTAGCTACTAATAGTATGCTTGAGGTTTGCTGAGATCTTAAGTATTCCTGAGGTAGGATAACAGAAAAGTAGAAAGGAGATAAGGAAATTTGTAATATTAAAATTGTACCTCTTAAAAAAAAACCTTCAACTTTAGGACAAAGTCAAGCTTTTTTTTGTCCTTGAAAAATACCTAAGGGACTTAAAGCCAATACGCCTGCACACTGGGCTCTGGATCTGTGCTTTTCACTTGTAGGCTGTACTCCCTCCTACAAACCCCCTTCCTCATGAAGCACACTATTAAGAGAAAAGCACAGGGCCGGAGATTTAGCTCAGTGGTTCCAATGCCTGCTTCACAAGTGCAAGGACCCAAGTTTGATCCCCGGTACCAAAAAAAAAAAAAAGAAAGAGAGAGAAAAGAGAGAGAACAGCACAACTCAGCTACAAACACTAGTACCTGTAAATGGTTTGCATTTTAACAGAGTCCACCAAATGTGTAAACCCAACAGACAGTAGAATACACACCCTAGTTAACTTATCGTGGGACACTACTGAGCCCCATAAAAATAGCGCTCAGGGCACCTCTCTCCCTTTTGAGGGCCTGCACTCTATTTCTTTGAGTGTACATTTTAAAATTCTACCTAATAAATCCTATGACCCTTACTGACAGTGTCTTGAAGAAATCTGTGAAGCTACAACCTTTTCCCTGGGGGGATGAGTCAAGGGTCTCCAGCTCTGCTTTGGAGACTTCTGTGGACTTGTTCTGGTAATATTCTCACCATCCAAAAAAAAAACAAAATAGAAAAAGGTCATGATGTGAGGCGATGGGTATGTTAATTAACTTGCCAGTGGTACCATTCACAAACAAGAGGCAAGAATCAATACTAACACTGGTTTGATCCGCTCTGCCTCTTATGTTTGAATTTAGAGCCTTTACCTGGAACTGTGGAGAACTAAATTACATACGGGTCAGGAAGACACACCAGTCAAAGATTTTTTTTTTAAAAGTTGTATTTATGGGATAAAAAGTAATGTTATAATTTTCAATACAATATGGAATGACTGAGTTAATAAACCAATCCATTATTACAAATATTAATATTTTATGAGAACATTTGAGATGTTGATACTTTCTTAGCAATACTGAAATGTGCAGTATGCAATGAGCTATATTCACATCTAAAAACAATAATCACTCATTCTTCCTAGCTTTCCAAGGCTTTGTACCTCCTTATTATCATCTCCTCACTCCCCCACCCCCAGTATCCAGTAACCATACTACTCTCGGCCTCTATGAGTTCAACTGTTTTAGATTTCAAAGATTAAACATTTTAAAAGCTTCATGAGCAATCTAGTAACACTAAACTAAGGGAATTACAAGTATACAAAGACGACTCACCTCATGATGCTCACCAAGAAGAAGCTGTACTGTTAACAGACTAAGCCTAGCCCTACATGGGGATGCTGACTCGTCAAGCAGTGAGTGAACTCTTGGTCAGGAACTCACAAAGTACAAAATGGGCCAAATCCAGACAGGACACTCTGAAGTGAAAATGACCAACAGCTGGCAAGCTCTCTAACTATTCCATCAGTTAATCCTTGGGATCACTCCAGCTCTCAGACTGCCTTACTTCTTATTACTTTTGTAATCTTCCATTTAACGCAAATCCTCTCCAGAACACTGGCTTAGACAGCGGCAGTCTTACCCACCTTCCTAAGTATTGGGAAAGTATGCTTGCCAGACACTGCTGGACTAAGAAAAACCAAAAGACAAAAAGAGAAACAAAAAACAAACCCCAAACAATGAGAAATAAGACTCATATCTGACCCACTCCTTTCCTGTACTGAGGATTGAACACAAAGCTTCACCCATATGAGGCAAGCTCTCTACTGATGAGATATATTCCTAGCTTTATCCTGTGCTGTCCTATCCTCTCCTCTCCATCTATCCAATCCTGTCCTGTCCTATCCCATCCTATCCTAAGAAAAGGTCTTGCTAGCTTACCCAGTTTGGCTTCAAACTTATTATCTTTCTAACCCTCAGCCTTCTGACTAGCCGGAGTTGCAACTGTTTTTATTGTTATAATACCTAGTTAAAGTTTCTAATTATCTCTTCTTTCTACATGAAAGTCCAAGAGAGACCCTATACATGTTTCATCTAGGTTGTACATATCTTCACTCTATGAAGTCTCCCTCCTAAAACACAAGCCTTAAAGCGACCACAGTGTGCTCACAGTGTTATGGCCAGTGTGGTCATAAGGCGGGGGAGTTTTCTCAGAGGGCACCATGAGACTAACAAGATCAGACAGGTGCTGAGTGCTTTGTTCTGGAGTCAGTGGCTGAGATATACCATGAATGAAGTCTGTAATTACAGCAAGTAAAACAAGAGAAGAAATGGGTGTGATGCTGCAGCTGAGACAACACTTAGGCTAGGAGCCTAAGAAAGTTAACCACAGTTAACCAGACAAGCTATTTTTATACAGAATGTGTCACTCTAAGATGAGATCAGAAAGTAAATGTACAGAAATAACAAAAAGCTTGTCATGAATAATTAAGTCATGTTTCTGAAGAAAAATATAACTAAAGAATGCCAGTATGTCTTCCCACACATCTCTGGACTCCTCAGACAAAAGCATGATATTATTAGATTGAGGGCAAGTAAACTACAGGAGACAGGGTAAGCTTGCTAGCTGGCCCCTCAGTCATAAAGGTCCCTATATATCAGGGGATTGTTTCCTGGTTGCTGAAACACTTTCCAGCAATGCTGTATGCCTGGACATGTGGTATGACCCTTCATCATAACCATCACCCCTCCCACACTTACATACATCACCATGGCCAGAACCACCCGAGTTCAGACAATCAGGATCTTAGCATTCTCAAAACATGATGAACGAGACAAAAAGATAATTTTGATGCAAGTCTTCAGTTTAAGGTATTTCTCATCCCTTCTTGCTTCCCCTTCAAGTTCACCTCTGTCACTCAAAACTGCCAGTCACCTCTGAAGTGACATTAGATTATAAATGTAAAACAGAAAGAACACAGAGAAGATTTTAAAAAATCCATAATCAGAGTTAAAGGAATATTGTTTCAAAATAGCAAGCTTTCATTTCCAATTCAATGACAAGGGCAATACCTGACTCGGATCAGCCCAGACCGAGGAGAGATCTCATTTCTAAAAGAATTTCCAATCTGGGCAGCAGCAAAAGGCAACTTCCCTTGGTTAAATTCCAAAAGTCGTTTAAAATTCAGGAAAATCCCCTGTGCAGTTTCTGGTCTCAAATACCTATAAATTTAAGTAAATGAGTCTGTTATAAAGAAAGAAATTCTGTTTTCTAAAAAATTAAATTTTACATACAAATCTTAAAAGTCCCAAATATATCATTTTTACAACACAGTTACATAGGCCTACAATGAAATGATAGAAACAAGATACTTTCTTCAGTATCCAATACTCTCATAACACATACTGGAAAGTAGATTAGCTACTTCAGTGGTAAAACATCCCCTTACTCAGATGCCCCTAAAACCTCTGCTGTCCTCTTGAGAACTCATTTAAATAAAGGCAGATGAATTTCAGTTACTTCTGAAAATAAGGTCCATGCATGATTACCCACATATTAAAACATGATGATAAGGTCAAGATGAAGCCAGTACGGGTTAAGGCTTAACATCAGAGCTCATTTTCATTCACAATCGTCCCAGAACAGGTAACTATCCATGTTTTGTCTATCATTTTATCCTTTGAGTATTTTATATTTTCAGCCAGAAGCTTCTGTATTTCTTTGTATTTTAAAGGTATAGCCAAACAATAATAATTGTTATATAGATTATCTGCTCCTCAGTTTCACAGAAAATATTCTACACAAAATATCCACTAAGAAAGTATTCCTAATGGCCTACTTCAAATTATTTTACTAAAATAACTTTGAAATCAAAGAAGGAAGAAAGCCCTAAAATTTTACCATCTTCTCACTCTAACAGACCACCTCTTCCATTTTTTTGTGGTCCCTTCCAGATTTCATTCAAATATATTTTGTATAAGCTATACTTTGTACACATATTTATAAGTTGAATATATAAATTATGAATTAGTTCTTATACTTACTTTATACTTTGTCATGTTCTTAATAATTGTAAATTTTTCTCATATTTAACAGTGGCACAGCATTACACTAAAATGGTCTACTTTTTAATAATTTGTTTAGCTACTCTCAAATTAATGGATAAGTAGGTTATTTCTATTTTCTATTCATATACTTTTTATAAGTATAGTTTCCTTTCCTTTTGAATTGTGCCCTTAGATAAACTGCCAGGAATGAAATGTGTGAGTCAGAAGTTATGTCACATTTTATGATTTTCCATATGTACCATCAAAATAAAAGGCTCACTGATGGCCTCTTTGCACAACTATCCCAAACTCAACCTGAAGTCTTACTGAAACAATTGGGAAGAGTTTTCAATTAGCAATAACTGCGCCTCAGATAAACCTCATTGACTATGATACAGCCACTGTGTAAAACTGTCTTATGATAATATGATACATTTTTCACAATTAGTTTTTAATTATTTTTTAGTTCCTATTCCAGGAAACATTAATCTATCTAGTTTCCTCTAGCAAATACTCTTACCCTAAAACAAGACGATAAAAAAAATCTGACACTATGAAGTAGAACATTGACTATGTCTTTTAACATTAAACAAGGAATCTGGCAAGGCAGCTTGTAAATCCAATCTTACTATAAACTGCCCGAGTGTGCTTTGATCTATGAAAACCACATCTTTCAAATTAATAGACTATACCTATGCTTTCCAATATCATAATCACATGTCTATTTAAATTAATTAAAATGAAATAAATTTAAAAAGTGAATTCTTCAGAACTTTACTTTAATAACTAAATAGTTACAAGTCACTAGTAGCTACCACGTAGGACAGATTTTATTTATTTGATTCTTGTTTTTGTTTTTTTGAGACAGGGTCTTGCTGTGTAGTTCAGGCTGGTCTTCAACTCACTATGTAGCCCAGGCTGGCCCTGAATTGAGATCCACCTGCTTCAGTCTTGAGTGCTGGGATTACAGGAGTGAGCCATCACGCTTGGCAGACAGCACATTACAGAACACCTTCATCACTGCAGACAGTTCTACTGTACAATATAGACTAAATGGTTTCTAAGGTATACTTCAACAATAAGTTCAATAATATTAAAAAATCACTCAACTGTCCCTTCTGCTCTATGCAGCTATAATTAGAAGACATAATGATCATAGACATTTATACTTATTTTACCAAAAAAAAGCATTTACACTAAAAAGATTATACTCATAAGAAATTAAAATAAAACTTAAGACTACGTCATTACTTCTAACACATTCATTTGCACTTTCAGTACATCACTTTTCAAAACTTTTTCACAGCATTAATGTTACAAGCAATTTTAATAACTATTATATAGGTAGAAAAACAGTAAGGGATACAGACCCTGGCATGTTTCCTCCAGGCCCAATGAAGGTCTTGAACATTAAGTTAAAAGGTACTGGAGGTGACAGATCATTCCCAGTACTTGGGGATTTTACATTATAGTTCACAAAAAGATCCCCAAGTTCTTGCTGTCCATAGTTATCAAGCTAAAGAAAATGAAAGGAAAATTAGTATAAAAGGGGGGGCAACATAAGATAAAGTATTATATATAATTCTATCATTCATTGATATAACACACACAAAAATTCAATGTCAGGTTTAACATAACCTTCAGGGTATCAACATTTAAAACCGCAACTAGTTTACCACTTTGTATTTCCCAAGACAGAAATGTTAAAACCTTTCTGGAACTAACCTAACAACACTCACACATCTGCCATTTCACAATGAAAAATAAAGGAAGATATCTCGTGTAATTAGTTGTAGGTCAGCAAGAATCTGAAACCATATACTTAAGTCACTTTTCAGAGTTGAGTGTCAACACTGAATAAATTTAAGAGGTACATTTCTGTGCCTAGTATCTACGCATGCAACTTCCTTTCCCACCAGATAGTAAGCTCCTTAAAGGTAGAAACTGCACCCTATTAATCTCTGCATTTTCCAGAGTCTTATATACTCTATAAATTGATGATCAATGACAAATCTTGTAAAATGATGTATGAGCTCCAGTTTAAGAATTTCAAATAACTATGATAAACTATCTAATAGTAAAAAAATACTTAAAACTTTTTTAAAGTCTCCCAATAGAAACAAAGTATCTCAAAAAATCATATCATCACCATATGAAACAAAGCTCTGAGAAAGACCTGGGTATATCTCCAGGACTATCATTTATGGGTCATGTGACTCAAGATTAAGTTCTGACCTAATCTCTGTGAGCTTCTTTACTTACTTGTTAAATGGGGACAAAGTATCTACCCCATTAAGAAGGGATACTATAAAGATCACATAAAATAAAGTACTTAGCACAGGACCTTGCACGTAGTACCTATTTGATCTTTGCTTCTGTTGTAAAATCGAAAGGCATTTTTACTCCACAAATAGTCAACTCACATTAAACACATGTTCTAAATGTAAATGAATAATTTAAAAAATTAAGTCTTCTAATTCTAAGACTCTATTTCTATGGACTTTACAGGGAGAATTCACAAAATACTGTATGTCATTACAGAATCAATACGGAATCTGTTCCAGTGGCCTTCAAGATATGAATACCATAAAAATAACTGTTCTCCCTGCTTAAGGAGTAAGTCAGAGTCTGATGAACACCTGTTTTTCAGGCAATTTGAGAAATACAATGCTTTTCAATAAAAGAAATGAAAACAGAAACCAGAATCTGAGAATACAGAGAGAAATCAAAACCTCTAGGAAGGAGAATCTGGAAATATCTAACAAAATTACATTTGCATTTTTGGCTCAGGAATCTCATATCAAGGAACCTAACTCAAAGATAAAATAGCAAAAGCATGAAAGAAATATGCACAAGATTTTCGATGCAGCACTGTCTGCAAAAGTAAAACTGAAAAGACGAAAAATTACACAAATGTCCATCAATGAAGAAATGGTGATATAAACTACAGGCACACAATGAAGAATTATGTAGCTATAAAATGGAATAAAGAACAGGTTTACATGCTGCTACGGAGACCCCTCTGTAATATTTTGTTATGTAAAAAAAACCATGGTAGAGAAAAGTATATGGAATTCTATCATGCACCTAAAAAAAGGCTTTATATAATGTGTATAAAATATATATTATTATATTAATATGCTATATTATATTAATAATTATATTAACATATTGCTATATATTATATATACACTTATGGGATCAGAGGAAACAGGTACAGACACTAGTTCTACTTAACTATACTTTCCTTTTTAAATTTAATTTTGGGCCAGGCATGGGGGCGCACACCTGTAATCCCAGCACAAGGGAGGCTGAGAGAGGAGGATAGCTGTGAGTTCAAGACCAGCCTGGACTACATAGTGAGTTCCAGGTCAGTCTCAACTACGTAGTGAGACCCTGTCTCAAAAAAAAAAACCCAAAAAATAAAAAAATAAAAAAATTTTAATTTTGGAGTTATGAAAATGACATAATTATAAACAAATTTTTAAATTTGTTTTAAAAAAACTGAAAGTAAAACAAAACACATGCACATATCTAGCTGATGACCTAACTACAGAAAAAATTCAAGTGATTTTAAATAAGATCACTGTATGACTGTACACTGCTGGCATATCCCTTTGGAAAATAAAGAACAAAAATAATTTTTCAGTTATTTTCAATATTTATATTGTTGGTGATATTAGGATTTTTATTCTGATACAATTACTGTGTTGGTATTGCAGAAAACTGGAATTTAATGTGGGTTAAGGAAGAGATTTTAAATCAATAAAGTAAAAATACCATAAACTTAAAGCAAAATAGTAATATTAATTCAGGATAATTATACCTTTAAAAAATATCAATTCTCTAGCTCAGTCCACTGAAGAGTTCTAGAACCAAAGTCCACTGATAAGGACCAGAGCTCTTTGGAGGAATAGCTGATCCCATGTCGGAAAAGGGCAATATACAAGCTGAGCCTGCGATTGTTTTGTCATGACAAAAAAGCAAGGAAGTTATCAAAGACTACTAGAACTCCATAAAAGGATTCAGCAGGCAACTCCTGAGAGCCAAAGACTGGACAATTTAACCATCAATAAGGTAATAATCGCAGCTGACTGAAAAAGATCAAATGTTTTAATCTACATGTTTATTAACAAAGAAGGGAAGAAAAGAGGGTAAGGCAGGCAGAGTCTTAATATGCAATCAACAAATTAGCCAAAACAAGACTGGATCAAGCATACGTTCTTCACTTTTCTTCACAAATGGTTCCTCACATAAATCCAATAGTAACTACAGCAAGTTTTCCCATTTTCTGTTTTTCCAAAGCAATAGAAGTATGACAAAATCATTTCAGACCCCTGATCAATTAATGGATCTAGACAATAGTCATCACATACAGAAGTACAAAACACCAATTATTTCTTGTCACATATACTTGGTCAAGCCTCTAAAGCTACTACAGAAACAGGTGAAGATGTTTAACATCATTATCACAATATAATCTACCCAGAGAACATGAACAGTGACGAATATATGATGATGCAAAAATTATTAACATTTCCCAAGGTATAAGCATTATGCTCCACTTTTAAAAAAATTTGTACACATATGTGTATACATATATATGTATAGACACACATATATAATAAAATATTTAGATATGGTAAAATGTTTAAAACCTGTAAAAAAAATCAGGACAAAGCCAGGAAAGATTCAAAAAATATGAAAAGATTTGATAACACTGAAGCAGGGTAATGAGTACACAAGTGTTTATAATATTTTTCTACTTTTATGTTTTAAAGTTTTCATTTTAGTCTTCATTTTAAAAATTTAAAAAAGAGTTTACAAACTAGTTAATTCAAATGGGTTGGCAAAAATGGACAGAGGAAAAAAACGAGAATTAACTCTGAGTTATTAAATCCACCTACACAGAAAAATTATTCTTATCACAGAAGGTGAGCCAGCGCCTTTTAAAGAAACTATCATGCTTCAGAGCCAGAAAGGAGTCACCAGCATGATGAGATACAGCAAGCACCACTATGTGCTTAGACAACAGATGGGCTTATAGCGGAGTCTACTGCAGCCATTTCCAACACTACACCATCCCTGGGTCCCTCACTTATCACTGAGGATTACACTGACAGCTGTATATTTACTTTCCTAAACACAAAACAGAAAGCCAGTGCTCAAACTATAAATTATGACTCATCAAATCAAGTAGTTCTGAATTCTAACAATTTACTTGGAAATGAATGAAACCATTACAATCAAAGACAATTGAAGATATATACACACAAAACTTTAGTAAGCCTGAAATTCTGAATAGGAAACAGAATGATTTATGGGAAATTAGAGGCATCTTTAACATTTCTAATACAGCTCAAGATTGGAAAAATGAAAAAAAAAATGAATGTGTGGCTATAACAGCATCAAA